AGTTTTTGATGCCACATCATTGTCTTCTCTTCTGCAGGATTGGCTGATGCGATTGACGTTTCTGCCTCAAGATGTGTTTCTCCCATTATAGCAAATATATTTGCAACTGTCTTTCTTGCTTTTAAAACCACCAGCGCTCCTTTGATGATTTTCATGATTCCATTATCTATTCGAATCTTACAGCCAATACTATCAAATTATCCTATGGATAAAAGATTCTTCTTTAAGTCTTTCACATGTCGCACTTCTGAAATAGTATGAATTAAGCCACTATACATCTTCAATTTGATGGTGTCAATGCCAACAATCTTTAAAGCATGATTATCACCCATGAATACTTTACCTCTAGAGATGGGTTTATATGTATGGAACCAATCTCGATTAGGAGTCATATGCCATGTTACTCTTGAATCCATTAGCCAGACCTCAATGAGCTCTTCTCTATATGTAGAGATTGTTGCTGCTTCACTATATAAAACCTCTCCATTTTTGGAGGTGCTTGCAACACATCCTTGAGGTTTTGCAACACATCCTTTTTGAAGTGATGTTTTTTGCCACAGTTGTAGCATTTCACAGTCTTCTTACTTCTTGTTTTGGACCTCCACTGTCTTTGACTCCCACTAGAGCCACGCTCCGTTGATCTTCCTCTTGACAACAACAATGCCTCTACTTGGTTTGAACTGTTACTATCTCCTTTGTTTTCGCGCCTATTTTCTTCGTTTAAGATAGCGGCTGCAACATCATCGAAGACTAAATAGTCTGAGAGGATATTATTTGTCAAGTTGATAATAAGCTGATCATACGAATCAGGAAGACTTTAAAGTAGAAGCTCTGCACGTTCATTTTTCTCTATTTGTTGACCCAACATAGTGAGTTGTGAAAATAGAGTTCATATTATGTTGATGTGGTTAGTCACCGATATGGTTTTTGCCATTCAAAGGGTATAAAGTCTCCGCTTGAAGAAAATCTCGTTGTGTAAAGACTTGGACTTGTATAACTTTGTTAGAGTCTCTCATATCTCCTAAGTTGTTTTCTTCTCCGCCACACTTGATAATACTTCATTGGCTAATGCTAAATGTATGTTAGAAATAGCATTGCCATCCATCTCATTTCATTTTGTATTATCAGCGATCTCCTCGGGCCAATCTCCAATTGCTGTCAAGCAATTGTCTTTCCTTAAAATTGCCTTGATTCTCATTTTCCATAGTGAGAAATTGCTCCCTTTAAACCTCTCAATCTCGTACTTGGCTGCCATTATATTCACCGAGATCTATTCAACTATCACTGTTTCACTGATTTGCAACGTATATATAAATAGTATCGTGTGAATAATACTTCACTAAGGAAGTTCCTAGGAAAGATTGGAGGGGTCACAAATGGTCCCGGTTAAAACTCAATATCCTTAGACAGAACTTCTTGATTGTATTTAAACACCGCACTTCTTTTCTATATACGCCAATAGTAACAATTTAAACAGTATCGTATAGATGTATAGCGCCGTATATATGAATAGTGTCGTAGATGTTAATAGTAACCGTATACACTAATAACTTTTGTGTATTAACAACACCAACCAAAAGGCTTTGATACCACTGTTAGGATGCTGATATGCAAACCCGACAAGACAAAAGGCAAGGAATAGGATAAAATGAGAAATGAGACACACAAGAATTTACGTAGTTCACCCAATTTAGGCTACGTTCACAAACAAGTACAGAAGAATTTTACTAAGTAATATGAGAATTACAACCTCTCTCAAGTAATAGGAGAACAACTAAAATCTCTCAATTACTAGGAGAAAACACCTCACTTACTCTCTCACAAATACCTCATAATTTTGTGGGATTACTCTCTCTTCTCTCTACTCTTCACTTCTCTTCTTTGGTGTGAATAATAAGCTTGGAGGTATTGCCTATTTATAAGAAGAGTGAGGGGACAAAGGCAATAAATTATAGTATAAATTATACCAACAATTCATAGGGGAGGATTGTTGGGTATGCGACCAAAGTCCCACATTGGTTAGAAATGGGGAGGATCAATGGTATATAAGAATGAACAAATATCTTCATTGGTATGTGGCCTTTTGGGTATAACCCAATAGCAAATCCATGAGGGCTTAGGCCCAAAGTGGACAATATCATACCAATATGGAGATAGGTGGTGTCCATAGTCCTTACAAGTGGTATCAGAACCATGCCCTAGAGTTAGCCATGATGGATGAATCCTCGGAATGTAGAATAAAAGGTGGTGGGTCCTAATTAGATCACGATGTTAATCCATGGATCAGCTCTATTGGATAGGTGGTGTGCTCCGAATGCTTCATGGACGTGTCTTGATTCCAACACAGTGAAGAGGAGTTGACCTAGAAAGAGCAAAAACTCTCATGTCAGGTAGTGCTCTCCAGATGCTTCATGGACTTGTCCTGACTCCAACACGATGAAGTAGAGAGAAGTAGAGAATGAAGAATCCTGGTTGGTAGAGAGTGGATGGATAAATAATCGTTTGAGGAGAGGCTCAGTGGTCCTTTGTTCGAGGGGAGGATTGTTGGGTATGCGACCAAAGTTCCACATTGGTTAGAAATGGGGAGGATCAAGGGTATATAAAAATGGTCAAATATCTTCATTGGTATGAGGCCTTTTGGGTATAGTCCAAGAGCAAATCCATGAGAGTTTAGGCCCAAAGTGGACAATATCATACCAATATGGAGATAGGTGGTGTCCATAGTCCTTACAATATATGTACTCTAGCTTGTCTCTCCCCCCATATGCATTGCTTTCAGTTTCTAAATTGTTATGTTAAAGGTAGGTAGAGTTAAATCTCTTTAAATATGCCACAAGGAAATGAGACGGCAAGTACCTCTTAAATCATGAGGTTAAGCGTGTTGGGGTGATTCACAGTGGAGAACATTTGAGTTTCTACTTAATTATGTTGGGAAAAACTATGAACAACCGGACATCATTTTATCCGGATCAATTCAGCGGACTACAATTCACAATTCACAAGTCCTAATTCTTTCTTTCTTTGTGCAGTAAAACAGAATCAAACAATGATAAAATATAATGCAAATAATCACAAAATCAACACCAAGATTTTAACGTAGAAAACCCGATGCGGGAAAAACCACGGGACGGTAGTCCACCTAAAAACTTCCACTATCAACAAATAATGGGTTCACAATCATTCTTCCTCAGATTCAACTAAGGGATACAACATACATATCATCAAGAATAACTTATTCTCGAATTACAATAAGATTAAAGAAGAATTATTTGAGAAAAACTCACAAAACTGACAGCCCCATTTTCTGTCAAAACAGTCAGCTTCTACACCACCAATCTTCGATCAACCGTCCAAAATAAAGATCAACGTGTCTAGAAGCTGCTGTCAAAATCTCAGCCAGATCTAACAGTAAACAACTTAGAAATCAAAAGAAGAATGTAGGCTGCTCTGCTGCCTCTTCTTTTCTTCTCCTCTCTTGATTTTCTTCTCCTCTTTTTTATTTTTCAATCTACCGCTACAGCACCCGAATCACTTTATTTTAAACATCAAGAGACATCCATCACATGAAAATTAATGTGATGAAAATTAATGTGGTGGTCCCACCATCACATGGTGGGGACCACATACAACAAATTACAGAACCATACAAATGATAGATTACTTCACATATTGAATTATCTATTTAATTACGTGATGTGTACTCAGACATTCCGGGCTCTAGGAAATTGAATCAACTAAACAATCTTGATAAAAATCAAGTAAAAAGTGTTGAGCATTGCTGCAAGCCATTCCATGGCATGTCACATATCAGCAACTCCCGTATGACATTATCACAAGGATCTTCTGTGAAGTCCCAGTCACAACCATTGACGGTACGTTTGCAAACCATGTAGAGAGATTCTTTTAGACCCTGATTTTTCCTAGAGGTCTTAAGAAATACATTGGAGCTGGAAAAACATTATTAAGAAATACCTAATAATAAAATCATACAAAAACAGCTCTTCGTAGTGGCCTATCAAATCTTCTCTAAAAGAATTGGCATTTCGTGTCTCCTTGAGTTGTTGCCAGTGCTGCGTTATCCAATGGGTTAATATTAATTTTTTAAAAAAATATTAAATATATAGAAAATATTTTAAGTATTTTGAATTTTATATCCATGCTAAACTTAAGTGATTTGGATCTAGTAACAATGCAAGACTAATTTCTTATATTTTATTTTATTCTAAACAGAAAAGCTATTTTTTTTTTTATTAAAAAATTTAAATTATGTATACAATATTCTAAACATAAATTCTAATTAATTTGTTTATATATTTAAACTACCCTTGAAATATCCTAAATGGAAATGCTAATTAATTTTTATATTTTTTATATAAAAACTATTTTTATTTGTTATATTAATTTTATATTTGATTTGATTTTATATTATTTTACTTATTTTTCTACGTTTATTCAATGTATTTGTTTTTAAGAAATACATTGAATGGTATTATTGAAGCTTCAATCCAGCTCATCATGGTTGAATGGCAGCCTTTATCGATGGTCAATGTCTCCTTGTATTGGGAATGAGGGCAGTTACTACAAGATTCCACAATGAAAGTTTCACCAACCAGTAGACTGTTCTTTGGGTTTGAATTTTGTAATGAAATGATGGAAATTCATTTCATTAGAAAATTCAACATCAAGTTGGAAATTCATTGGTTGCTACCTTCTTACAGTTGATTATTTTGCCTACTGATCGAAGCTCTTGTTTATTTTTTTTTAATTGTTTCAGCGATAACTTAAAATTTAATTCCGTAGTGTATTGATCAAAATATTACAAATATTCTCAAACCCTTCATGCAAAGAAAAACAAATTCTAACGCATAAAACAGTGCCATCATAATTTGAAAGAAATGAAGTTCATATTACAAATAATTATCGTTCCAATTGATAATCGAATAGAAGTAGTTATACACTATGAGATTAAGAGATCTCCCAAACTTATTGTGCAAAATGCCTTAGGCAGCGGAGGCCACTTAGTGTGAAAAAAAGTTTGATGATAAAATTCATGTGGAGAAGAGATCTTAGATAATCGAATAGAAGTAGCCTTAGGCAGTGGAGAAGAGATCTCCCAAACTTATTGTGGAAAATGCCTTGGGCAGTGGAGGCCACTTGGTTGTCAGCTCGAAAGAAATTTTTTCCATTGTAGGCCGAGATTGGGGATTGGGTTGCAAGCATGCAAGTGCAATTTTCATCATGTGGACAACGCCCTCTGCTGCTTCTTTTTTAGGAAGCGAGATGCGGTGGTCTAACACATCCTTCAATAGAGTATGCTGAGCAATCGGTGGCATCGACGATGATGACGAAGATCCTGGTGATAGGAGTGCTGAAATGAGATCGCCTGGGTGCCTTCCTGTCATCACCTCCATTGTTACCACTCCGAAGCTGTAGACATCGCATTTTTCAGTCACCTTCATTGTGTAAGCTAGCTCTGCCAAATAAACATGATTATGCATGGTTTTTTATCAAATAGATGAAAAAAAGACTCTATAAGAAAAGCTAAAAAAACACTATATATTATCTTCACTATTACACATTATATAGTAACTTAATGTTGGAATAAAGCTACGCACCTGGAGCAGTATATCCAAAAGTACCTGCAAATGAGGTCCAGTTGGATGAGTCAGGCATCAACAATCTAGCTGTGCCAAAGTCGGAGATGTGTGCTTCATATTCCATGTCCAGAAGGATATTATTGCTGGTAATGTCTCGATGAATGATTGGAGGAGAGCAAGAATGGTGTAGATAGGATAAAGCTCCACCCGCCCCTTTCACAACGTTTAGCCTTTTCATCCAATCGAACTCAATTGCTTGTTCCTCACAGCTTATAATCTTTCTCAAGCTTCCTCTTTCAATGAACTCGTAAACCAAAAAAGAATGCTTTGCATGTGAGCAAAATCCATACATTTTCACAATATTTCGATGTCGAATATTTGCCAACACGCAAACTTCCTTTTCAAAAGCTTTAAAATCGGACAACTTTTCTGTTTGTGACCGGTGAAGTTTCTTCACAGCAACCACCTGTTCTGTTGGCATCACTGCTTTATAAACAGTTCCATATCCTCCTTCGCCAATGCAGTAGTTGGAGTGGAATTCCTCTGTAGCTTCAACGATATTCTCATACATCTTCTTCCCATCATGGCCCAATATCGTGAACATGTTTCGATCATGTTCATTTTCTGGCTCAGCGTTTCTCTTCCTAGCTCTTTTGCAGAGAATGAATAAAGCTCCAAACTCTAAAAGCAAGCTTCCTAAAAGAGGGAATACAATCAAAATCACAAGCTTGTTGCTCTTTCTCTTAACAGTTTTGCTGCTTGTTGGAAGATTGCATGGCTTTAGACCACTGGCATTGCCACATATACCCATATTATCCCTTAATGCCTCAAATGAAGCGTTGTGGAAGGCTTTGATATCGGGAATGGGGCCTTGTAGCTTATTGGATGATATATCCACAGTTGTTAAGCTTAGCATGTCTTTGAAAGTGCTCGGAATCCGTCCAGAAAGCATGTTGTGAGAGACATTCAGAGTTTCCAACGTTTGCAGCTGCCCAAGTTGCCTCGGTATCTCTCGAGTCAGGAAATTGCAGCTAAGATCAAGATCTTGAAGATAAAGTAGAAAGCCTATCTCACCTGGAATGCTTTCTCTAAATTTATTACCGCTGAGGTTCAGCATCAATAAATTTGAGCATTCCCCAAGTTGTTTTGGAATCAATCCAGTCAGATTATTAGATGCTAAATTAAGGATTTGAAGATCGGAAAGCATCTTAATATCTAAGGGAATGGCACCTGAAAGATGGTTGTTGTTAAGAAGAAGCTCGTACAACAACTTCAAACCCCCTAAATCTTTGGGGATGGCTCCTTTTAACTGATTTGATGACAAATCTATCAAGTGTAACTGAGCAGCCTTCCCAAGCTCTGGTGGTATCTTACCAGAAACATTATTGTTTGAGATTTTAAGGCTTGTCATGTTACGACAATCTCCCCATTTTGAAGAGAGCTCACCATAAAAATTATTGTAACTCAAATCAATATAACGCAGACGTGGATAGACACCAAAAACCTCAGAAATATTTCCTGTTAACTGATTCCAGTCAAGTCTTAGTCGGTGTAAACCAGTACAGTTTTTCAAGCTTTCCGGGATTGAACCTGAGAAGTAGTTGTGGGAAGCAGTAAAGATTTTCAATACTCCTCCATGGCATAAATCTGCCAGCAAATGACCCGTGAATTCGTTGGTATCCAAAACCAAAACCTTCAAATGGGTGAGATTGTTCATCTCTGAGGGCAATGGGCCGTGAAATTTGTTACCTGACAAGGCAAGGTGATAGAGAGATTCTAGCAACCCAATTTCCTGAGGAATGGGACTAGAGAGTTTGTTATGCCCAAGATAGAGCTCAGATATGCTTGTTAAGTTTCTAATAGAAGAAGGGATGGGACCAGAGAGTTGGTTAAAAGAAAGACCAAGAAAAGACAATTTTTTTAATTTTCCAATGGAATAAGGGATTCTACCGGTTAAAATATTACTCGACAAGTCAAGGTAATTGAGAGACTCTAACAACATAATTTCCTGAGGAATGGAACCAGAAAGTTTGTTACCCCAAACATAGAGTAGGAATAAGCTTGTCAAGTTTCCAATAGAAGAAGGGATAGGACCAGAGAGTTTGTTATCCCAAAGATAAAGCATAGATAACCTTGTCAAGTTTCCAATAGAAGAAGGGATGGGACCAGAGAGTTCGTTGGTAGACAGAGCTAGGAAAGATAAATTTCTTAATTTTCCAATGGAATAAGGGATTCTACCGGTTAAAACATTACTTGCCAAGTTAAGTTCATTGAGAGACTCTAACAACCCAATTTCTCGAGGAATGGAGCCAGAAAGTTGGTTCACGTAGAGATTAAGGAGAGCTAAGTTTCTTAATTTCCCAATTTCATGTGGGATGGTTCCAGAAAGAGAATTGTTCGCAAGGTCAAGAACAAAAAGATTACGGAAGGTCGAGAAGTTGAAATCATCAAGCGTACCTCTCAAGCCAAAACTTTGGAGTGTCAAATTGGTGACGCTTCCAGAATTGCCACAGGTGATTCCAATCCAGTTGATGCAAGGGCTGATGCCGACCCAAGAAGAAAGGACAGATTGGCTTTGGTTGTCAAGACTGGCTTTCCATTGGAGAAGAGCCTTAGCTTCTGTATTATTATTACCAAATAGCGAAGTTGTGGAGGAAGTGTGTTCAGCTAGAGCAAAGAAAGAAGAAGAATTGAATATGTGAAGGAGCAAAAACAGGATGTGGAGAAAGGAGGAGAAGAATGGATTGTTTAGTAAGGACGTCATCATGGTGTGTTTTTTCAAGAGATATAAGATATGGTTTGCTATTGTAGATGAGGCTCTTCCATGGAGAAGTACTATTTATAGGTAGGAAAACGTGATTAGAATGGTTTTTTTTTTTTTAAATCATTGATTATTACATATCTTCTCTAGTTAAGTTGAAATTAACTAGGCTAGTGATAGTGCATAAAATTTAAATAAATAAATTTATTATTATTTTCAATCCCTCTGTAAAATGAATTAAACACTCATCCTGGCTTTAAGAAGATAAAATAAATTTATTAAATTTTCCATCTTATCTTTTTTTTCCATTTTACTATTTCATAGAAAGAAATAAAATAAATTGAAAAAGATCATGAAATGGAGAAAAGGATCAAATTACAAATAGATTTAAGATCATAGGGATTAATTATTTATTTTCAAAGCTATTTCCAGTAGGATCAAATTCCATCTCAACTTCCTTTCCCCTTTCCATATCATAGTTTGCGACATTAACTGGAAAGTCCTGCGTTCACATGCACACTGCCTTGTGCATACCATGAATGGATAAAGGTCTCTAGAATGTCAAGTCTTCTCACTTTTGCTTTTTCTCTAAATTCTCGTGCTTGACAAGCAAGCAGAAAAGTAAATAAAGGGTGATAAAAAGCGAGGAATTCTATGAAAGAAACTTTAATCTCGAAAGTTTTTTCTAGCAATTTGATCACTTCAATATATTCTTTCTTTCTTGTACAGACTTAGATTGTTGTTAAGAGTAATTCGATGAGGGAAAGCTAGAGTTCATGCGAATACCATGTCTGCTGCAATGGTAAAATTAAATTATCCTTAAAATATTCTAAATAAGAATGCTAATTAATTTTTTATCATACATATTAATTTGTTATGATACTTTTACCTTGATGTGAACACATGTTCTTCCCCTCTTAATTCTTATATCTGATTTTCTAATTTTTAGCACTCAAGAAGAATAACATAACTTTAACTATATTTATGTGTTATTGGTATGCTTAGTTATATTATTATTATCATGTATTGACCTAATAAATTAATCACATTACAACTTAGTCTCTTATTGTATGTTTGGTTCTATTTATTAATTCATTGAGTTGTGAAAAACTCATCATTTTATCATTTCAATCTTATCGCAAGTTATTAAGAGTAGGTTTTTGTCTATACTCTAAGCTGATATACCCAACACTCTTTCATGACATGTATATATCTATACTCTAAGCTGATATATCCAGCACTCTTTCATGACATGTATATATGATGTAGTAATGTAGAGGGATAAGATAGTGTCTTGACATTGGAATGGGAGATTGCAAAACAGAGCTAGTTGTAATGAAGATTATGGCGATGTGTTTCTTTGAACAAAAGTGGACATAGAGAGAAGGTGCAAAGATTGAATGGAGTGTCTAATATCTGTCATTGGGGAGTAAGGAGAAGAGGACCTAGCTTTTCTTAGCTTTGTCCTGTTATTTTTGTTTAACCTACGCAGCGAGTATACATAGTGGCTCAATGAGCTAATCTACAACGATGACATGAATTTTGTTAGAACATATAGAGACTATAAGGCAGAAATTCTAACAGATGACATGAATTTTCAAAGTTTCGGACAACAAGCAAACTAGAAAGCATGAGAGGTCTTTGTAAACTAGTATTTTCAAATGAAGGACCGAACCTCAGGTTACTTGAACAACGTGAATATTACCTACGTGCACAAATTCACAAAAAGGAATGAGATTGAAGGATTTGTTAATAGAAAACCCTGACGCTAGTCCTTAAAGAGTTCATGCATGTTCCTTCTCTTCATAGCATCAAATCTTTCCTAATATAATCACTAAAGAAGGGAGTGTACATTTAAAATCACTAATAGATTTAAAATCATAGGGATTAATTATTTATTTTCAAAGCTATTTCCAATAGGATCAAATTCCATCTCAACTTTCTTTCCCCTTTCCATATCATAGTTTGCGACATTAACTGGGAAGTCCTACGTTCACATGCACACTGCCTCTAATGTGTATACCATGAATGGATAAAGGTCTCTACAATGTCAAGTCTTCTCACTTTTGACAAGCAGGCAGAAAAGTGAATAAAGGGTGATAAAAAGCAAAGAATTCTATGGAAGAAACTTTAATCTCGAAAGTTTTTTCTAGCAGTTTGATCACTTCAATGTATTCAATGGAAGATATCGTAATTGACGTGAAAGGGTTTAATTTGTGTCATGAAACACGAGCTGCAGCAAGCATATACGCATCTCTGGTCTTCGTTGAGTTTGTTTTCACACTTGTGAAAGCCTTAGATGGTCAGGGTCCTGCTATCTGTTGTTTACGTGTATCACAGGCTTTTAAGATACACAGAGATAGAAAGAGTGATGATAGGAATGAGACTTATTAAATCTTCTTCTTCTGTTATTCAATGATTCTGATTTGTAATTAGTTAGTTATATATATATATATATATATATTCTGTTATTCAATGATTCTGATTTGTAATTAGTTAGTTTTATATATATATATATATATATATGCAGCTGTAACCAACTTAACAGCATGTAACTAACTTGTAATTGACGTGAGACACACTTGTTTTGTAATTTCCAGTTCACCAACCCTTTCCATATTTTGCACTGAAAAGACAACGGAAAAGTGTATGTGAGAGACTCACGAAATTTCCATAATTGACTATGGATCAGTACCCGTAACAATCCATTTTTTTGAAGTTCTGTCGGATCTTGTACAGACACAGGTATGACCATATAAAATATATAAAAATAAATATTTTACCTAGCTACTTCTTGTTTTTTTCTTAAGTATTTTTTTAAAAATATATAAAAATAAATATTTTTTGAATATTTTTTATTTTTAATAACACTAAAAAATATTAATTTAATTATTTTTTATATTACATTTATTTTTAAAACATATCTAAACACAGGTTTGACCATAAAATTAAAAAAACTAAAAATAACAATCCTTTGTTAACAAAGATTCTTTCCAATAACAATTATTTTTTATAAGCTTTTAGGTTTAGCCAAGAGCATTGGGTTTGGTGACCATGTCTAATTAATTTTTTTATAATTTAATTTTTATAATAAAGTATTTAAACTATCTTATCCTAAATAATTTCTTTTTATAAAGGTTTTCTATGTTTTATAAAAAACTATTTAAATTACCCTTCAATTATCTTAAATAGAAACGCTAATTAATTTTTTTATAATTTTTTCATTTCTTATAAAACATATTTAAATTACACTTGAAGTATCTAAAATAATTTTTTTATAAATGTTCTTTATTTTTTATGAAAAAATTTAAACTATCACTGAATAATCCTAAATAGAAATTCTAACTAATTTGTTTTATTTGTTATAAAAAAAAACTATTTACTTTTAAAGCATCCTAAACTGAAATGCTAATTATTTTTTTATAATTTGCTTTCATTTTTCATTAAAAAATTAAATTATCCATAAAGTATCTTAAATAGAAATGCTAATTAACTTTTTATAAATACTTTTTATTTTTATAAAGAAAACATTTCAATTACCCTTGAAGTATCCTAAACAAAAATTCTAATTAATTTTTTTATATAATTGTTTTTATAAAATTATAATTACTTTAAGCTACACTTGAAGTATCCTAAACAGAAATTCTAATTAATTAAAAAAAAAACATTCAAACTACCCTTGAAGTATCCTAAAAAAATTCTAATTAAATAAAAAAATATTTAAACTACCCGTGAAGTATTCTAAAAAGAAATTATAATTAATGTTTTTTATAAAAGAAAATGTTTAAACTACATTTGAAATATCCTAAATAATTTTTTGATAATTGTTTTCTATTTTTTATAAAATAAATTAAACTATCCATAAGGTTTTCTAAATAGAAATTCTAATTAATAATTTCTATAATTTTTTTGTTATAAAAAAGTATTTAAGTTACTCTTAAATGCTAATTAATTTTTTTAAATAATTTTATATAAAAAATTAAATTATCTTTAAAGTATCATAAACAGAAATAATAATTAATTTTTTATCGCACATATTTGTTATGATACTGTATCTTGATGTGAACACATTTTCTTCTCCTTTTTCATTTTTATTTCTATATTTATGTGTTAGTGGTTTGTTTTGTTATATTATTATCATGTATGAACCTAATAAATTAATCACATTATAACTTACTCTCTCATTGTATATTTGTTCTATTTATTTATAGAGTTGTGAAAAACTCATCATTTTATCATTTCAATCTTTTCAACATATATATTAGCTGATTCGATGCAAGTTATTAACAGTAGGTTTTTATCTATGCTTTAAGCTAATATAGCCAACACTTTTTCATGCGGGCTTATGACCCAACACTCTTGTAACTGTTGCATTTTTTTAGATGACAACTCTCTCTCTTGCTTTCCTGCTAGTCCTTGTTACCTATTTATCAATCTGGCTAGAACAATGTTTACCTACTTCCTTGTTAAGAAAAAAAAAAAGAGAGATTTTTTTCTGATACCTAAGACTTTTCATGTCTACTTTACTTCTATCAGCAAGGATTAAATAAGCCTCTTTTGATGGTCTTATCATCCAAATCTTATCATCATGAAAGGATTTAGACTAAATAGTATTCTATCTCTAAATCCATGTTTTATAGCTCTAAATACAACTCAATGACTAAACAATATTCCAGTTTGAATTGCACTAGTATCTCTTTTCTATCCTCTCTTTGTCTTCTTTATTTCAGTAGTTAAACTTTGTGATGAACCCGCATTTAAGATGAACATTTAAAATAAATTAAAGGTATCTTATAATGTTAGATATGATATTATAAAACATACTTTAGTTAAAGAGTTATTGATACTTTAAGTGCAAAATGATGATATAAAACTTTAAAAAAATATATTTTTAAGTACTTATCACAAACCAAATAGGATATAAGACCTTTTGACCTAATGTTTTTTACCTAACCTAACTAGGTCGACCAGACCAAGTTGACCTAAAATGTTTGGTCCCACTATAAACTAAATAAAAAATCTTGGTTTGATCC